TGTAAATGGATAAGCCCTTCTAGAAGGCATGCAAGGAAGCACTTTTTACAGCCCTTCTTTGACCTGATCTATGTATGTACATGAATACTCGCTCTTATGGCTTCGTCCACAAAAGTCATTCATCACTTTTCTTAATACACGCACTGCTACATATGTAGTTATTATTCGACAGCCTGTGGAAACTTTTAATTTTACTTTTTTTCCTATTTTTAGTACTCGCCTATAAATATCAATGAATAATGGGAAAGTCAACAACGTACGACATCAATAGCCATGTCTATCGAGAGACCACATTATCCAACACCGACGTCAAACACAATAATATCGAAAATAACAGTAAAAATCCGACAAAAACCACGTCACAGACGAAGCCAAAGAAAGTGCGGCGTGACAAAAGTGATTTGGGTGAGAATTTCAAAGCGCCAGATGGTGGCTGGGCTTGGCTGGTGTGCATAGCTGCGGGTTGTTCGAACGTGAGTAGTGGCCTAAATTGTGTCTTAATTACATATGTGCATACATATTTATGTTTAATTATGTTCATTATATTTTTCTTAATATTTCAGCTGTCGATCTATCCATGCTTGCAGCAGTTTGGTTTTATATTCCGTGAACGTTTGGCCATATTAGGTCTAACCAGTTCAGAAATCACGACAATCATTAACACAAATCCAGCGGTGTCGGCATGTACAGGTAATAAGTAGCTGCTACATATATTTCGGAAATATTACCTCTAATATTATTTTAAATAAAATCCCCTTCAATTTTTTACACACTTTATTGTAGTGAGAAAAATCGGAGTCATAGTTGCCCACTGTTGAAGAGCGCTATGAGAAAACACATTCCTTAATCGAAAAAAGAATTCCAAATGAAATTAGGACGGTCTAAAGGCTGATTTTCAATACGTCGTATTTTGACGCCAAAATTTTTCTACATATTTTGACACAACTTTATCTCTTTTACCCATCTCTAACCGATTAAATTATGGGTCAAAAACTGACAGATAACCGATATAGCAGCGCATGTAGAGGACTAGAGATCATGCGTATACCCGGAAAACCCGACAACACTAACGCCTTTGTCCCTGTGGACCGACCCCATTGAGTCTGCACTCTTCTTAGGGCTTCCGTTAGTGGAGCTTGATGACAACGACTGAGATATTAACCGATCTGGGCGGGGTTGTTGTGGCCGCTGTAACAACAACAACAACAAGAGATCTATCTTGATCGAAATCAATCGATGTACCGGTTTTTAATCTCATTTTACAATGTGTTTTCATTTATTTAACGACAAATGTCAAATCGCCTTAACTGCAGGTCTAGACATCGCCTTAGATAGTATTCATTTGCTTACTCCTCATTCCCAATGCGGTGTTTTCGTCATAGAGATCTCCATATTCGTGATCAATGAACCATCAGATCTGGAGTTTTTCGGATGGTCTTCCGTCGGTTTTCCATTTAATCGCGACCCTAAAGCTATTCAGGCCTCACAATCATCTCGTCTGGTCCATAAGTCATATGCAGCGGCTATAATGTATACAGCAATTTTTCGAATATGATAAACGTGCATATTAGGGTGGGCTGAAAGTAATTTTTTTTTTTTAATTTTCACTATTAATTTCAAAAATATTGTTTATTATGCAATAAAAAAATCGATGCAAAAAATAAATATTTTTGGTCTATATCTTAGGCTTGCCCAAGTTAATGAAAGTATAAAGTGTTAGCTTACTTCAATTGCAAATTTAATTCTCTACAAAAACGTTACTAATACAAAATTATGCAGGACTAATAGTTTCGATGGTAGTTGCAATTTTAGTAAAAAAAAAATGTAGTTTTTGTACATTAATATAATATTTATGTGTAAAAACTATCGATAAGTCGCACATTTTACACGAATTTAAATTTCATACGAAAAGGTAACTTTATGAAATTATTTGCGATTAGCTTTCTGAGATAATTGCGATTTTTATTAGAAAGTCGGTGTTTCTGTCCATGAACGAAATATTTATGTGTGAAAAAAATTAGTAAATTACGAATTATATATCGAATTCAAAGTATCAGGAAAAAGTATTTGTTTTTTGGAAAAAACCTATTTACATAATTTTTTTTTATTAAATTTTTGGTAAAATCAAATTTCAAGTCTTATTATTTAAACACTAATTTGTTAGCTATGACTGCGGGGTTGAAAAAAGTTATTAATTAAATTTGCGATCGAAGTAAATTAAGAAAAAAATTTTCTCAACACTGAACTTGAGCCTTGGACGAGCCGAAGAATTTGTTAGAGCATAACGAAACATATTTGTCTAAATAAAAATGCAAAAAAAAACGGATATTCGGCCCACCCTAGTGTTAATCGGAAGTTTTTTTCTTTTATTAATCATACCTGGACATGGCCTCAGCCGTCTCAGCAAAGAGTGAGGTTGCGACAGGACGCAGCATTTCTGTACAGTTCCTAATTTCACTACTTTGAAATATATTGCTAGCTAGGATTTTCCTGCTGAAACTGTGGTATTTTCTAGTAGACTTCGCGATTCTATTTAGCATGAATTTCACCTTGCAACAAGCTGCAGTCGTTTGGTTGACAAAAGACTGACTGAATCAGCAGTTCTATGAGTAAAAACAGCGCTGATTCTTTGCTTCAACTTTTAAACGTCAGTGTCCCATTCTAGTACATATATTGAATAATTTTTAAATTTTTCTGCTTAAGACCCTAATTTATGGGTAATAAATTCGGCATACAAAATTACGAAATAATTTCATACAGTTAACTCTCTTATTGTTTCCAGGTCTCTTAAATGGACCTATGTTTCGACGCTTTACATTTCGTCAAGTTGCCTTGGCGGGTTCACTTTTCATTTTTGTCGGTCTAATGCTTACAGCGTTCTGTGAGTCTTTCATCGGCTACATGGCAACCTATGCGATTCTTTTTGGTAAGTCTCACACTTATAGCTTTTAAACATACATACATCAACTAATATACGGCTTTCTCCGCACACCGCAAAGGTTTCGGCGTGGGCATCAGTGTTTCCGCTTCTTCGCTTGCCATCAATACCTACTTCAAGAACAAACGTCGCCGCGCAGCCGGCTTCTCATGGACACTCACTGGTTTGGGACCGATATTCTTGCCTCACGTTGTCACACTATTCCTCTCCTACTATGGTGTGCAGGGTACGGTGTTCATTTTCGCCGCTCTCTCACTACATTCAATGGTTTGTGCACTCGTCTATCAACCGGTGCGTTATCATGCGCCACCACCCGATATTGCTGAGACGGCCGGAGATTCGGGTATTGCAGCCGGCAAACCAGACTATCTGTGTGAATACTGCCAACAGCAAAACAAACGTAATGGCATCTTTTCCAGTCAATATTTGTATCAAGACGATGACGAAGCTATGCCGGGGTATGAAATAATTGAGCCGGGTACACCGATGTTGTCGCGCGCCAACGACGGTTGGTTCGGTTCGAAGTTGTCGTTGACCTCAACGCACAAAGGTGGTATACCACGCTTTCGTACCGTAGCCAGTTCCAAAGATATCGAGAGCATGACTCGTCTTAATCGTGTGATATCTGAAGAGGAACTGAAGACGGCCGAGGTTTACAAACCGAACAACTTCAAACGTGAACGGGACGAGGTGTTGCTCAAACATTCGAACAGTAATGCCAATTTCCGAGCGCCACATCTTGGTGGATTGCATGGTGCGATAGCTCAATTGCATTGTACTTGTGCCGAGGAGCGTATGCTTCTCGAAAAGGCACAGCTTCGCTCAAAGTTTGCAGATAAAAAGCTGGAACCGATGGCTGAAGAGGATGACGATGCTGCTGTGTCGGTGAAGAGTTTTACGTTTATGCAAAAAGTGATCGCGTTCTTCGATCTAGATTTGTTGCGTGACTTTACTTTCGTCAATTTAGTGGTGGGTTTGACGATGATCAACTTCGGCGAATTGAATTTTTCCATACTTACGCCTTTCATATTACACGATTTCGGATTTACGACGTCACAAATGACGTCGGCGTTGTCAGTACTTGGTGGAATGGATATTATCGTACGCTTTATTGTGCCATTCGTGACGGAGAAAATACCGTGGGATAATCGAGTGTTCTTTCTAATAGGTAAGGGTTAAGGTGGGTGTGAGATACAATTTTGTTTTTATTGGTAAGCATTCGTTCACTATTTATGTGAAATAATCTAGCTTGGTAAAATAGTTTTGGTCTCTTAGATAACTTCAAGGGACTTACATATCGACGGCTGAGTGAAAGATTTTGCTATCTCAGTTATTTTTATTTAATATTTAGTTAGGTGTTTTCGAACCGGCATACATATATGTACATACATACATGCATACGTTTTCATATCTATCATTTAGCATTTTAAATTCAACAATAAAATTTTTCCTTTCACAGGCGTCGTCGGCATAGCTATTGGACGCACTGTTGTAGCCTGCACACGCTCCTACACAGTCATACTCTGCACCTTTGTCTGGATCGGAATGTGCAAAGGCGTGCGCACCATATTCTGGCCACTCATCATACCCAGTTGTGTGCCGTTAAAGCGTTTGCCTGCCGCTTCCGGTTTACAACTGCTCATTTCCGGTCTGTTTACGTTCGCTTGTGGGCCGCTTGTTGGTGAGTTGGACAAAGGGATTTGACGCTTCACTATTATTAACTTTTTCTTGCAAATATGTCTGTTATATGTATGTATATGAAGTTTTATATTTACCTACATACATACGTATGTATATTAGGGTGCATCACTTTCGATAAAAAAAATGGTATATAAACTATTTCTTATACATATTAAGATTCATGTAAGTACGAAAACTGATTTTTGGAGGTACATATTTTCAATCGGTCTAACTCACGTAAATCTTAGTATATTTCTGAAATATTTTGACGGATGTCTTAAGATATAATAAATTTTATAAGTCCAGTGGAAACCCCGCAATCTTTTGTGATAATGCACTCTAATGTACAGCCGTATATTTAAATTATATTTATATATATTGGCCCGTAGTCATAGTCAAAATAAAGTCGACTTTAAAGTTAGTTGCAGCTTTTTGACATAATTTTCAATGGGATATCTGTCAAAAAAGCTGCAACTAACTTTAAAGTCGACTTTATTTTGACTATGACTACGGGCCATTATATTTAAATTATGTAGTACGGAACCTACTTTTCCACTGCTGCTATTACCTGCATTCACTACACATTGCCACGTTTTTAATTTCAGGTCTCATACGCGATCGATTCGATTACTCGATCACCCTGCATTTCCTCAACGCAATGTCATTTATGGCTGCTACTTCGTGGTCGATAGAGGCGCTAGTGCGGCGTCACCGTCGTCGACGCCGTAATCGTCAGCAACCTTGCGATACGTGACTGTATGCTATTAACGTCGCTAGACATTTACTTAATTGCCGGCAGATGACGTTGTCACATGGCGCTGTCACATGAAAGACACAAACCGGAATGTGTGATTTATATTAGAGATTTGTGCTGCCAGCGATAACATTTCACTTACTCTTTGTAGAAATAGCAAAGCATATCGGAAGCCTCTTGGAAAGACTTGTGTTTCTACATGAAAAGGGATCAACTTTGTACGCACGAAGACTATTATATATTTTTTTTAAGCAACTCGAGAATTCTATTATAAATCCCACACTTCCCTCTTTTGTACATATATAAAAATTAAAAAGTTCCTTGTTTTATAGTAGCTGTACTAAGCCATTAATAAATGTATGTAACGTTAAAGTCCAAAAAAATGCCAAAAACATTCGGTTTTCCGATAATCAAAAATATGTGGTATCTAAAGAATTATGTCGGATTAAAAACCTTTGCTTATGCAAACATACTTATTTTCGAATGTGATATATAAATAAAGAAAAACAAGATTTTTTATGTACATATGTATAAGGTTACCTTACTTTTTAGGGAATGGGTCGATTTGGAAATAAACATATGTACATATAGGGTGATCCATTTAGGACTTGGTTTTTTAATTTTAAATAAAACTCTTAGAACAGAACTGGATGCAAGGCGAATTTATATAAGGTACCACCTTTCAGCTATTCTTCACAGAATGAAAAAAGGGCCGCCAAAAATTCAAACACTCCCTTTTCCCTCACCCACTACAGAAATACAAAATTTTGACAATCAAGCGCTGCTCGCAGCTGATGAAACGACACCAATTGATTTTTGTCGGATTTCCCGAATTTTTTGGATACAATTTCCGGCCGTGGAAATGTAGCCTATGCTCAGGGGCAGGAAAGAAAAATTTAAACAAATTTTCCGCTGTCGCTTGCTGCCCATTACTGCTCGCCTGGTATTCTTTGCCGGTGGGCCACCGATTGATTTTTGCCGGACTTCCCGAATTTCTTGGATAAAATTTCCGGTCGCGGAAATGTAGCCTATGCTCAGGGGCAAGAAACGAAAAATAAAAAAAAAAATTTCCGCTTCCACTTGCGGCCCATTTCTGCTCGCCTGGTATTTTTTTGTCGGTGGGCCACCGAAATTGATTTTTGCCGGACTTCCCGAATTTTTTGGATAAAATTTCCGGTCGCGGAAAAGTAGCCTATGCTCAGGGGCAGAAAAGGAAAAATTAAAAAAAAAATTTTCGCTGCCTCTGCTGCCCATTTCTGCTCGCCTGGTATTTTTTGTCGGTGGTCCACCGAAATTGATTTTTGCCTGACTTCCCTAATATTTTGGATACAATTTCCGGCCGCGGGAATGTAGCCTATGTTTAGGGGCAGGAAACGAAAAATTAAAAAAAAAATTTCCGCTGCCACTTGCTGCCCATTTCTGCTCGCCTGGTATTTTTTGTCGGTGGGCCACGGAAGTTGATTTTTGCCGGACTTCCCGAATTTTTTGGATACAATTTCCGGCCGCGGAAATGTAGCCTATGCTCAGGGGCAGGAAACGAAAAATTTAAAAAAAAATTTCAGCTGCCGCTTGCTGCCTATTTCTGCTCGCCTGGTATTTTTTTGTCGGTGGGCCACCGAAATTGATTTTTGCCGGACTTCCCGAATTTTTTGGATAAAATTTCCGGTCGCGAAAATGTAGCCTATGCTCAGGGGCAGGAAACGAAAAATTTAAAAAAAAATTTCCGCTGCCACTTGCTGCCCATTTCTGCTCGCCTGGTATTTTTTTTGTCGGTGGGCCACCGAAATTGAGTTTTGCCGAACTTCCCGAATTTTTCGGATAGAATTTCCGGCCGCGGAAATGTAGCCTATGCTCAGGGGCAGGAAATAAAAAATTAAAAAAAAAATTTCCGCAGCCGCTTGCTGCCCATTTCTGCTCGCCTGGTATTTTTTGTCGGTGGGCTACCGAAATTGATTTTTGCCGGACTTCCCGAATCTTTTGGATACAATTTCCGGCCGCGGGAATGTAGCCTATGTTTAGGGGCAGGAAACGAAAAATTAAAAAAAAATTTCCGCTGATACTTGCTGCCCATTTCTGCTCGCCTGGTATTTTTTGTCGGTGGGCCACCGAAGTTGATTTTTGCCGGACTTCCCGAATTTTTTGAATACAATTTCCGGCCGCGGAAATGTAGCCTATGCTCAGGGGCAGGAAACGAAAAATTTAAAAAAAATTTCCGCTGCCGCTTGCTGACCCTTTCTGCTCGCCTGGTATTTTTTTGTCGGTGGGCCACCGAAATTGATTTTTGCCGGACTTCCCGAATCTTTTGGATACAATTTCCGGCCGCGGGAATGTAGCCTATGTTTAGGGGCAGGAAACGAAAAATTAAAAAAAAAAATTCCGCTGCCACTTGTGGCCCATTTCTGCTCGCCTGGTATTTTTTTGTCGGTGGGCCACCGAAATTGATTTTTGCCGAACTTCCCGAATTTTTTGGATACAATTTCCGGCCGCGGAAATGTAACCTATGCTCAGGGGCAGGAAACGAAAAATTAAACAAAAAATTTCCGCTGCCACTTGCTGCCCATTTCTGCTCGCCTGGTATTTTTTGTCGGTGGGCCACCGAAATTGATTTTTGCCGGACTTCCCGAATCTTTTGGATACAATTTCCGGCCGCGGGAATGTAGCCTATGTTTAGGGGCAGGAAACTAAAAATTAAAAAAAAAATTTCCGCTGCCACTTGCTGCCCATTTCTGCTCGCCTGGTATTTTTTGTCGGTGGGCCACGGAAGTTGATTTTTGCCGGACTTCCCGAATTTTTTGGATACAATTTCCGGCCGCGGAAATGTAGCCTATGCTCAGGGGCAGGAAACGAAAAATTTTAAAAAAAATTTCAGCTGCCGCTTGCTGCCCATTTCTGCTCGCCTGGTATTTTTTTGTCGGTGGGCCTCCGAAATTGATTTTTGCCGGTCTGGCGGAGTTTTGAGGGTAAAACTTCCGGCCGTAGGAATGGACCTATGCTCATGGGGCAGGAAAAGCTCAATTGAATTTTTTTTTTAATAATTTCCAAGTTTAGTTATCCTAGAGGTAAAATGGCTGAATTCGTTTCATAAAACATTTATCATCTTTAGTTTTTACTTTATTAAAATCATCTAGACAATCATACGCTTAAAATTAATCTTATTTAAAGCTATTAAATAGATTGAAGTACATAAAAATATTAAATTTATAATTCCCAGAATGAGCTAAAAAACGTATTGCTTAAAATGGGAAACGTTTTGCTAAAAGTAAAAATCGTATCAAAAAATTTAAACTTTCTGTATTTTTTAATACAAAAATACATATTTAGTAGGTTCAACACTTATTTGTCTCGCTTTGGTCGTTTTTTTTTTTAATTCAATTTAATTTTAAAACTTTATTTCGCATACAACGATTTAGGGTCCATATTACTTTTATTCTTAAAACTAAATTCAGCACATTGGGACTGATTTATCCTAGAGCTTTCACTATATATAATTGCTTTAATTAAATTACATCCTTAAGAGTAGTTACTAAATGTTAAATGCGCTTAAATATGACATACGCATTTAGTTACACCAAAATATCGATTGAAAAATTATATTACAAAAGTTATATGAGTCCACAAGATCGTTCCATTTCGATTAGTTGTGAGTAATTTTCAGCACGTGTATATATTTATCTTGGCGATGGCGACATTGTGGAACGCAGTCGTCTACCCTTCTTCACCATCGACAACTGCTCGACGAATGCCATTGGTCTGGTTGTTGCATCCTGTTGCTCACTAGCTGGCGTCGTTGTTATAATATTCAGGACCTATTTGTAGGTATGTGAATTGTGTGCAGTTGTGTGGAATGTTGATGAATTATGTCAGTGTATGAAGTGTAGTTGTAGTGGTATGTTTTCGATGTTTAGTGATTTGGAGAAGAAGAGAAAATGCATATGAGTTGAGTATGGCTGTCGTCTTCTCGGGTATTTTGTATGTTGAATTTTATTTGATTTTAGCGCGATTTACTTTTGAATTTCCATCGATGATTTCCACTGGCTTGGCTGGTACATACGCCGAGAGACCCATGAGACCGAAGAGCTCAGGACGGTAAAGGCTAGGCGCTGGCGTTGATGAGTTGTTGCCTGGAAAGGGGTTTTGTGAGTTTTGGGAAGTTAAAGTTTTGGTGGTTATAATTATTTTGGTTTTAAAACCCTATCCAAGTAAAATTGATTTAATAATAATAATAATGATAATAGATTTTTTAGATCCTGATAAATCGATGTTAGGGCTTTTTAAGAGGGATTCGATAATAACGCTAGGAAAATGTAAGGTAAATTAGAACTGATGACAAACAGCCAGATAAAAAACGCCTGAAATATGAACAGAAGAATATCGACTGCGACCAGAGCAATAAGATAAAGAGCAAACTTTATAAAGTGGAATTTTGAATGTATGTTTTTTTTGTATACAAGGAGAATGCATCGAAAGCCTAACTTCCGCAGAGTGGAACTTCAATTCGCTGTACCGTATTGTACGTTCCTGTCTTAGTGCAGCTCGTCGTAAGCTGCACCTGCTTGCATCTCGTAAAGATCCCGAAGTCTTGGCGCGCTAGCCAGAAAACTTTTAAATTAGCTAGTTGCGTCGCCTTTAAGGGTATAAATAATACTGGTTCGCGATATTCAACCAGTTTGGACCACTAATCGGCATAGTATTCTGAAGAGGAAAGTGGATAATGTACGATGATCTCAATGAGAAGGAAGTAGCGACAAAATCCAGACATAAAATACTGCCCAACCTTATAATTTACATTTTGAGTAGATAAAAAATAATTTTATAATCATCAATGCCGTAGTAAAAGGTATTATTTCATAATTTTATTCACAAGGATTTTTTTCAGTTATGCTATAGTAACATTTGCGATATCGCAATTCTATCGAAGAGGGAAAATATTTCTCTTCACCTCGATAAATGCTGATTGGAAAAACCACCGAAGTCCACCCCTGCAGGAACTTGCCTCTCGGATTCAGGTTGATACAATGATAAATACATCTAATTTACTATCTCATTTGTTTTTGGAGAAATAAAAATGAAACATAAAATTTTTAAATATACATAACTAGTATTAGTTAGATCAAAGGAAGATAATACATAGCAACGAAAATTAAACTTTCATTTTACGGAGAAGAATCGCATTATTTTAGTAAGTGGTTTTAGTCGAATCCGGCATCGTATGCAAAAATAAAGAACGCGAAATGGAATCAAAACCAAAAAGCTATACGGAAATGATCCCTAAACAATGATTATAAATACTCGTCAAAATTACAAAATAACACCAATAAATCCGAGCAACTTTATCGTAAGTGATCGATAGCTATTAATTTATCCCATCTTGTGCGTCGTGCGATGAATTATCGTAACACGATAAACTATTATAACTTTGTACTGAGCCAAGTAGGATTGTTTCATTTTATCCCAGCGCTGTCAGACAAACTATCCTAATTCAGTTGTGCCTATTTT